CCTCTTTATTCCTCTCTTAGCGACTTGCCTTTCTCACTCATCCACCCGTTCCACTCACAAACTCATAAAGACTCGCACTGAAGCTTACAGGCGGTCTGTTGTTCCTTATCTCGCCAGATTTCTAACAAACCAAGTCCTCGTTACGGGAAATCTGCGTCAAACACTACACTAAATCCCTCATGAACACCCAGGTGTGCCACTCATTTTGGTTGTTGCTGTCCCTTTTCACATCTTTTAACTGCTGTTTTACGTGTTTTACGTATTTTTTGACACACCATGGTTATGTGGTTGCTGAATATCCACCTCTCGGGGTGTATAAAGCCATTCCTTGACTTGAAAAAGACAGATGTTACGATAAACAAAATAACCATTGTCACTACATGGTGTGTGTATGCAATCGGTGAAAAGTGAGGGGGCGAAAAGCCAACATACGGGGTTAGAACTTGGTGGGTAGACATTTCAATTAGTAGTTCGCTAAAATCCGTGACTTTAGACTAACCAAGAGATGCACTACACACACAAACCTTCCGGGTTGTGGCAGTAGTTCTCAGTTCGATTGAGAATCGATGAGGATTGGATACCTTAGACGTTTTATCACGTCGAAAGGGCGCATGTTCCAATGAACTAGTTATTATTTTTGGTTTAGAAAATATCATCGTCAATAAAATGAGCGTTAAGAATCAGGTAAATTGGAGGTACATAGTCAAATCATACGATGCAGTTAACCCATATCGCATTCAACCGGTATAAACAAGCTCACTTTCCGTGAAGATGAACGCGCATAACATGCATCGCGAGGGTTGTGTCTCGTTGTGCATCATGTACATCACGAACCAGGAATATCATGTCAAACCGCGAAAGAATGGTGGGCATGAAATCGATATTTTCTCCTCCTTTCGTTTCATCCCATCGACCATAGACACTGTTCGCAGCTGCCAAAACGGAGCATCGACTGTTTAATGTAGTCGTTATACCTGCCTGAAATAGGGATCGGTGGAGAAATTTTTCAATGATGTTAGGTAATAAGCAGGAACATCCAAAAGCGAAATCCTAAATGTATTATTGTACACACACTTCACAGAGACTCGAATTACGCTCATACTGAAGCTCATCAGGTGCATGCTCACCGTCCTATCCGGACTTCAAACTCCGGACCCATCGCATAGAAGGCGTATTACCACTGTACCGGTGTAGCTCAGTAATACTTGAGATAGAGGAGTCATGTTTAAATCTCAGATTCATAATGTTTAATAACCAATGTCTTCCCTGACGAGGGTCGTGGTAGTGCGATTTGTTTGGCACAGTCACGGCTAAAACGTGTGAAATAAACTATACGCAACAAATTTTGGTGCGTGGAATTGAAGGTGGTGAAAAAGTCCGTTGTTGACCTCAGGAACATACAGCGGTATTTCGAGACTCGGTTAACACAGCCTCCATCACGCCAAAAGCAGCCTTGGACTGAGCGAGTGCGCATATCACTTAGCTTGGGAGTGGGTAGGAGTAAAAATGGCTAAAATTTTGTGAAAAATTTTTGTTTCGTAGATTCGATGAAACAGCGAGTGCAGTGGGTCAAGTGAAACTGGAACGCCAGATTTAAATATCTCCAGTGGAAAAGCTTCCCCTGGGGCTTTCCTACTTCCAACCGCCGAGGCGATTTCCTTCAAACCTGGTGACTCACAGTAAACAGTATACGGTTCACAGCTTTCTGCTACCGTTAGGTGACCGAACTGTTCAGTCGTGCTATGCCCCTCCATATCGTTGTCATAGGTGACCCCTAGGCCGCGCAGCGTGGTTTCCATCACATTTTTATCTCAAGAAGACGCAGTAGAGCTTTCTGGAGTCTCTAACACCTGATAAGACCTATATTTTGGCAGGCATTTCTGGAAGAATGACCAGCCTTGGGTCGAAAGGCACGGGCTTCATGGGGCTTGCGGAGTTATGCCCCTTTTGCCCTATTAGACCGCCGAAGTGTTTCTTCGGAGGCCCTGTTTTCGTGCTGCCGTCTTGTCTTTACCAGATGTTACAGTGCGTCTTCCCGTATGCATATATTTACAATTGCCCACTGCAAGTCCACCGCACCGTAGCGTCCCACATTCCTGTCAAGCACATGTTGTTCAGTTTGAAGGGATTTGTGCTCCTACCTGGATGTCCAGAACAGACAAATTGATTTTTGTCCCGAATATAGGTATTTGTCAATTTTTCAGGTGGATCTTGGGGTGAGTGCATACCAAGGTACAAATTGCGCCATTTGCGATAAGCTTGCAAAATTTCAATCTTGGATGCATAGTAGGGTCCAACTGGTCGACATAATAGGCTGTTCTTCCGTTGTTTGAACACTATATCAACAAAGGACTCCTCGGGGATCGCCCCTGTTCGAAACGACTAACCAATTAGAGTCAGCATACATGAAAAGACGTTCAGCTATTTTGCATCGACAGTCATAAACAACTTTCGTCCAGCCTCTCCTCTGTTGAGTGCTTACCGGGGTGATGTGGTTTTCGGGGAGCGGCGAGGGCTGAGTAAGGGCAGACAGGACTGAAAAACCGGGGATGGTGGCCCGGTGGTAACGTCACAAAATTATCACCCCGGAGGACGTATGCTCAAATCCCGCCACCACCAGACTTGCCTTTCGATTGGCCGCTTCTCCTTTCCTTTGTATATTTAATAGGAAGTAAAATGTAAAAGACAAAGAATNCAAAGAATGAAAGGCTGATTCCTAGGAAAGGTCCCAACTGGAGAGCTGAAGTGATCGCGCTGTAGCGTAATACGGGCCTTCTGTGAACTTCAATTTAACGTTTTACGATGCCAACGATCTTTAGTCCTACGCACGTCATTCCAAACCACTACAGTAACCTCTAATGAGCTTTTGTCTTTAGAGACCACATCTTGCAGCACTACCGCGTTTTCAGAGTGCCAGACGCAAATTAAGTGAATGGAAAAAAGAAACTTTTACTCCTGCTAATTGAGATCATTTTCTATACACTGCTACAGAGACGATGCCATCAACGAACTTTTCTAAAGTTGCCCATCTAATGCCAAACTTTGAAGACCAATGAGTGTGTTCTACCGTATTTCGTCTACGCCAAAATTAAACGGGAATGATGCCCAGAGTCAGGCGGTAAACTATCACCGAGGCAAATACTTCAGTTACTATCGGAATTGAAGTCATCCTTCGGTGGTTCCCGCATTTGTTTGGCGACTCCTTGCAAATGGAAACGATCGAGAATTCAAACAATGGTAATGGCATACACTTCTTTGACCATATGTGGTGCATTGAAACAGCAATAGCAACTACGAAATTACTTCTCTTAGAAGAAAAGGGGAAGCCCATTCGGTTTCGTTGCTTTCTCTATTCAACATTTGAATACCAGTTAGTACTTCTTGTTCCATTTCCAAAGAGCCGAAGAGAAGCTTTTTTATTACACATCTGAGTGTGATGAAAAGTAGACGAGGCGAACCGCATAATCACGAGGACCTGCTGTTCAGCGATGGTAACCGGCAATCTAAGCCCCGGAACTGAGAGTGACGAATCACATAAGGCCCCAATAGGTTAGGCGTGATCAATGATGATCATATAATGAGCGACGTGCGTCAAAAGCTCAATGTGGCATTGTGTCGATCATTTCCTGAGATACTGCTTCGATTGATACTGCATACCCAGAGACTTCATCTGGAGAGTAGAAAAACAGAGCCAACCGTTCAATTCTGTTTCACGTGTCGTCTATCAGATCACCGACAGTTGCAGTGACACTTGAATCGGAAGAACGAATCGGCCCTTAAGACAACGGATACCGAACACATACCCAAACAGTCACTGTAGTCAACAGCGTAACACAATTTGATGAAAGAAATCCAGGGTCATCAAGCGAAAAACAACTCATGACAAACGGACATGTGAATGACCCACGTTTTTCGTTCAAATCCTTGTTACGTAGTATTAGTCCCAGACTCTCAGTGTTCACCGGGGCAGTTTTATTCAAGTTATGTAGCACAACTTTGAGAGCACAAACGTCTCTCACGCGGCCAGCCAAATTACCGAGGGATTGATTCTATC